CCGGATCTTTTATATATGATTCGTACAGAAAAATATATAGGGGTAGAGAGAACACAATAATGAAGCCATAATGATGTGCTCATATCTGTTCGTACGTGTGCACACTGCGTCGCGCTGAAACTAAGAGAAGAACAATAGTTATTCTACATTGCCACATATTAACAATTATTGTTTTTGATAAATTCATAAGAAGAAATTTTCTAGAAGCAGAAATTGCAAAAAATATCCCTATACGATTCAATAACAATGATGTTTGTGAGTAATATCTTAATGGTCTTCGTGTTCTCGATTCTTCTTCTCACCGAAACAGGTTAGTCTGCTTGCATTATACTCGATCTGTCCTCGTTTTATTTGCGAATCTCATATTTTTGCAGTTATATGTGATGGTTTTTTTTATATGCAACGAATTCCATCATCTTGCATGGAAACTACTTTGAAGTTGAACACAAATGGCAGTTCTTCAAATAATTGTTTAACGTTTGATTGGAGTCAAATTTCAAATTTGACCACAAATTACACTACCTACATTAATTCTGATACAAATCAAACATATTATGCACAAGTTGGTGCATTGACTGTTTTGGGTAATATTGACAATTACAGTTTAAATTATGAATGCCCACCAATTGGATACAACGGAGTCGATTCGGGTTGTCAAACTCAGTCAAATACTGAATTGGTTGTATTACATGTCAATGCTATTGATCGTAAATTATATGCCATGGATATTATTCTGTCTGGTACTCCTTTTCCTGCGCCAGATAATTTGAAGGATAATCAACCACCTTTTGGTAAAGCTCATCACCAGTTCACCACAGGCATATCAGTACAATCTGCTGGCTATTTTCAAATTTGTAAAAGTAAGAATAGTGATCAGTGTCCAAATAAGAATCTCGATGTCCATAGACTACCACATCCAATACCAAGTAATTATGGGTATGGTATATATGCCATTCAAGTATTAGACTTTGTTACTAATGCGACATGGATCATGGATGATTCGAATAAATTACATATTGCTGCTATAGGTACTATTCATTATTATTTCAATACAACCGGATCTTTTATATATGATTCGACTACAAAAACATGTACATGGTCAAAATCTTGTAATTATGCTTGTGAAGTCTATGATTACAATTCTCGATTCTTAGACTTTGGTGGTGAATGGATAATTACAAAGAAATGGGGAATTGAAGACATGCAACCACAAGCCGTAGAAACTTGGATTGGACATACAATTGGTGCTGCTGGTGTCTTTCCAATTATCATGTATACCGATAAGAAAACTGGTCATTTCTTAGGAGTAGACAAACTTGATGCAGCACCGACGCTGAAAACGGGCGCCACATTTTTTTTTACGGATCATGGTAATACAACTCCAAGAACTAGCATCGAAGCCTATCATCCAAATGTTGTAGAAGCTGGATGCGTTAAAACCATAACTGAATGGATGGGAGTTAGGAACAATACTGATATTGGTTTGAGATTTGACTATATTCTAATCATGTTTCTAATCTTTGTTTTTAAATATCTTTCGAATATAGATGTAGAACTTTTGTAAACAATTCAAATCATATCATGTAAAAGTGACTTATGTTTGTCAAGGTATTTTACTGGTCGTCAAACGATGTTCACACAAAAAACAAGAAACATTACTGCACTGCTCAACTTGTGATGATAATAATTATAGTTTGCAGCTGCAATGGATCCAACAGTGTAGTCATTTTATTTATCTACTTAGAGGATACCAAAAATATCGAGACTAATCTTATATAAAAGTATGGGATGCTTGAGACAAAATTCTATTGACACAAATGTAGCACTAAAAGTGCTCTACATATTTGTATTATAGTAACATTAGTCAAGTGATAGTATCATATGAAAAATTTTAATGAAAACAAGGTACCATTATTTTTTAAGTCGGATAAGGCAAATGTTCGTTGCTGCATTAGGGTGCATACTGCACTTAACCGTCAACCAAATCAAATTATGATGAATTATATTTTGTCTTAGGCGGTCAAGCATCACCATATAATACAGTTGCCAAATTATGAAAACAGTTTCGGAAAGAGCAAGAAGAGACTGAAGCTTAAATCACGACTTATTCGATCTGTAACCGAGACAATGTCTGAACATATTGATGAAGTTCGCTGGTTCATTGACGGCGAACCCCATCTTATGATTGATGAAATATAAATAGAGATTGGTATAAGTCATGCTATATTCGAACGGATTGTTTCTGATTACCTGAAACTGAAAAAAGAATGGCTATCATCGGGATAACCCAGATTGCTAACAGATACTCACTGTATCGAACACATTTGGTTTTGTCAAGAAAATTTTGAAAAACTTCAGCATAGAACGTAGTGATTTTGTGACGTAGTGACAGATAAAGAGTCATGAATTTATCATAGATAAAATGACTGAAAGTCATCGAATTCTGCATGGACACCTGCTGGAGGAACTCTGTCTACTATGGTGCGATGCAGTGACTTTCTTCAAAAAACTTAATTTTATATTTTTGTCAAAAGTACTAGTCAAGTGTGAATTCATCAGGTTGATCAAGTAGAGATTCTCGACCATCACTATTATGTCGATGATTGCTTGGAGCTTATAGCCAAGAAAATTTGCATGACAAAATCCATTTCTAAATACATATACTATAAAACTTCACCACGACATCGTCACACCACATATGCATAAATATGTTTCAAGCTATCTCTAATCTAAAGGTATAAAACCCATTCAGCAATCACTGAATTCTCTAGACTTGATACTAAATGGATTTTGTTTATTCAATGTAACCAAGAGCATCAACTCGATTAACAAAGATGATCATCAAAATAAACTATCAACAAGCGATTTGAAGGAACTCAATTGTGTGTGAATAATCAGGAAAACTACTGTCAACATTTCAAGAAATAAAATCTGAAATTACTTGTTTCTAAATTTTTTTTCTTGAAAATCTCATTACTTTTGGTATGCCCTAAGTATTAATATCTGAGAAATTAGTATTTTAAAGATAATATCTTAAATTCGAATCAGTACATGATGAACAGGGTGTGGGTGTGCGGATGAATGAGAAGATTCACACCCAAACCCTTCTTCTATTTCACTGAAACTTATTTTGTACAGATAACC